GCATAAAAGTCCAACTTATAAGAAAATTATGGTAGATTTGAATTCTCTGAAAGTCATAAGAAGTACTTACAGGATTCTTTGCAAAAACGTATCTTTCAACTTGAACGAAATTTTGAGGATTTGCGGGAATATACTTATAGCATCATTCAGAACAAACACGAAAGGAAATTGCAGGATTTTGACACCCGGTTGAATGAATCAAAGACATATATGGATTTATTGCAAAAAGACATCACCATAGTTGAGGGCAAATTGGATTATAAAATAACTGAAGGACTTAGGATGTGTATGGTTTTACATAATATAACAAAATCGCACATTAGTCAAGTTTCTATAAATTTATCTACTCTGAATTTGACTATGTATTCGAAGTTGAAAAACACTGAAAATAAGTTGAACTCAATTGGTGCAGATGTAAATACGACGCAACAAGTCATACATTCATTCTCACAGAGTGTTTCAGACATGCAGAATTTAATGGAATCGCAGTATAGAAATAACAATGTTTCGATTGCAAACCTGTCGACAGAATTGGAAACATTCAGTACGTATTAATTTTATAATTTAGCAAATTTCTAGAGAGAAAAAAATAGAAAATAAATCTGAATTGGTAAGAAAAAAGTTGTTTCACTGAAGTATTGTAATAGTAGTCTCCGTAGAATTAAGAACTACTACAGATTCCATCATTCCATCATTAGAGCCTCAATTATTATCGATGAGTTTTTAAATGTCTTAATGTAATCACTATCATTATGGTAAGTATTTACCTGTTTAACATGTCAAACCGTTACCACAAAGGAATGGCAATTCAGATTCAGACCGAAGAGGTTCCCAAAATCTATACAATGACATCTGATCATTTTTTTCGTGTCAGAGAAAGAGAGGCCTCCTCAAATGTTTCGTCTTTCCTTAGTTCCATCAAGTTTTTTTTTTTTTTTTTTAATGTTTTGCCATAGAACACTACATTCACCAAGGCAATAAGAATGAAAAAAAAAGAAGTTATGCAAAATTGATGTATAAGACCTTGCATTTTTTAAAACAGTTGAAAGAATATATATAAAAAATCTCCGAGCTCAGATATATTTCATTGTATTAATCTTCTTTGACCCATCTAGACAGGAGATGGGGCACCCTCAATTTATCTCCGTAAACGTTGATCCAATTTTTGAGGCATACAAAGCAAAATTTCAAGAATAAAATGTGGGAGTCTTTGGTCTGACCAAAATAAAATTAATAGAACAATTTATTTTATTGTTTCAACCCCTTGTGATCAACAAGTGTATCACATTTAATTGATATCTAATAACGAATTTAGTATCAAACACAGGCAATTCCCATTTCACTAAAATATTTTTCCGTATAATGGTTGTAATATACACTGGAAGGAGTATGAGGCATATACATGTAAACAGTTAATAGCTCTCTAATATTTCTTTTCAGATGTAATGAATATGGTTCGACTCGTCGGTGGTAACTCTTCTGGTGGAAGGGTAGAAGTCTACTATCGAGGGGAATGGGGAATAATTTGTGACTCTGGTTGGAATGAACTAGCCACTCGTGTTGTCTGTAGAATGCTGGGCTACAGGTAACAATTAAATTGCTTATATTCAAAAAAAGTTATATTTAATTCAAGTCTCATTATTTTTGGATTAAAGATCATCAAGATCTCAAAATGATCACTGAAAAAAAGAAAATATATTTTTATCTATTTAGCGCATTTCTTTATATTTAAGTATAAAAAGTTATTAAAAGTTATCCTTTAATCACAGACTATTTCAAATTGTTTTGCAAAAGTTCAACTTTTATTTTACAAATATTCCCCATCTTCTTAATGTGTTGCTATCAACACTTTTGAAACTTTATTATCCAAGGCAATTTGAAAATTTCCAACCTGTATTTTTGTTTTCAAAACTCCTTTTTAACAACTTATATTTCATAAAATTATTTAATTTTAGACTGGTAAATTTTTTGTTATATGAAATACTAATATGAGATGCCCAATGGCCACATTCTTTGTTGAGCATTATTGCTCATTTTGATACATGAATATATATGTGAACTATAGAATAACTATTATGGCTTCTTCACTAGTAACCCAAGTACGAAGGAGAGTATATTTGGAAGCGAACATGTACATGTGCGTGCGGGTTTTACTGTCTAATTACAGCATCTTGGTTTTATATGTCCATGTTTTCAACTAATTCTAACGAATCTTTAGGTAAACTTATTTGTTTACAGCATTGCTCCTATATTATGATAGGGGCATTCATTTTTTAAAAGGTCCATACTTAAATTAGTTAAATAAAGATTGGGTAGTCAAGAGCAAACTAAAGCAGATAAAAGATTCGGTAAATATACTCGCATGCCTTTATATCCACGAGTTTCAATTTAGGGACGGATTACCCATAGAAGACAGATATGAAAAAAAGGTTCCTGGGCGAATATGGTTTGAAGAGGTCAAATGTGAAGGAAAAGAGTCCTCCATAATAAATTGTTCAAAAATACTCAGCGAAAGCCACAGCTGTTTTCATGTTGCAGTTGTACAATGTTTTTAAGCTCTTTCATTTAGCAGTAATGTAAAAATGTAATTATGTATAATCTAGTATTTTAATTTCAGAGAAGCTTTGATAATTTTATTTTTACAAATGTATATAGAGTCTTATCATGTCTATATGACAATTAAATCATAACTCTTTATAAACTGAATATAATTGCATTGTATTTGTTGGAATGAAGCATAAAAATGAATTTAATTATACATCGTCATGTATTTATAAGTTGAACATTATTTCACTGAAAAGATAATATAATCAATTTAGTTGTTTATTATATATATAAAAGTAATACCAAATATATTATATAAAACATTTCATTAATCTATATACATATGTGCCTCTAAAAACAAGCTGTTGTTATATCATTTTAAAAACATCCTAATAGAAATATGTACTTTAAAAAAGTCTAAGATTTCCAATGCTTTACTGAACAGTTAAAAAAATCGATGTTTGATCGCAGAGTGAGATACTGGATCTGTCGATGAAATTTTGGACCGCTTACGTCACAAGTAACACAAGTTACGAACAAGTAACAGATAGAGTAAGTTTGATCGACATATCGGTTGAAGATACACATTTGCAAAGTTGGATCAAATATTAGTGAGTGTTCTGTCCATAACGTATTGTGACGTAAGCGGTCCAAAATTTATATATATATTTTATATATATTAATAATAAAAATAAAAAGTATAACAACACATTTATTGACTATTCTCGGGTAAAATGCATTTTGGCAACCCCTCAAACCAAACTGTTTTCCTTTGGCCTAACGGCCTCAAGCAATCAATTTGGTTCTTGGGTCCGACCAAACGCATGAACCCAGTCAATAAATGTATAATGCTAGCGGAAAAAATATATTACGGTTGAAACCAAACGGGAAGATAATCCTGCACATTCGCCTTCTTTGCACTGTTGTCTTCTTCTTGAATAAAGTGACTTTTGTCGGGAATTTGAAGAGTAAAACCTGAGTCACACTTAAGATGATGGTCATGCGACCAAATTTTTCTCGTATCGTCGGATGAAAAAACATGATCGGCCGACATTATGCGGAGCAGTCACATTAATTTCTGGGAACACCGATGATTTTAAGTTTAATTATTAATAAATCGCACAATCATCACCCGATCATCGAGCGCTGAGCAACAGTTTGATTTTCAACGTCGACCGACATTTTGGAAAATCCAATACCTAATTGTCGACCGACCGACTTACTAGTCTGTTTTCCGACAGTCCGACGATGATCGAGAGTTGATCGGCGGTCAAATCAAAGACTGCTTTAAAGCATAAATCGGGCAAGACAACAGCCGATGAACTGCCGACTGAAGCCCAAAGATCCCATTTTTTGCCTCAAAACCCTGCGGCCGTTGCTCGTTTTTGGCAGTGTGACTGGGGTTTAAGCGATAACGACCATTATGGAAAAATTCGGAGTGGTTGCCATTCAAAACAGCATGGACGACATTTACGAGCTCATATTAAATAAGTGGATGAAAAAGAAATGTTTTGGGTATCATTGATGCATATGGTAGGTCACTTGTCAGTTTTCAGGTTCGCACAAGTTAAACTTTAAATTATGAAACTAACATTTTAATTTAATTACCAGTCATCAATTTACTCTGTGTTTGTTATTCTAACAGTCAATTTTAAAAAAAAAAAAAGGCAGAATGTTGTACAATATGGCGTTTAAGACACCATTTTTTGGTGTCGACAGGTTTTCTTCACCAAAGTGTTTGAATTAAACAGAAGTTGCAATTTTCGAACATTTTAGACGGTGGATATCAATGTATAACACATTATGAAAATGAATTTAAAATTGATGAAATATTTTTAGCTAAGAAATACAGCCTAAGAAATGCATCTTTAAATTGTGTATTTTATTAGACAACATGGAAATACTATTGCGAATTCTATGTAGAATTTACGTTACATTTTGGTTAAAATTACATACAAATATCAATGTTACAGATGTTTTATCACTGACCCCACAAAGCATAGCATTTCATGTTGATTCACAGAAAAAAATCAAGACTAAATTGCAGCGTATTAATTTTTAGTGTAAAGTGTCACCATTTTTTTTCATTCAGGGGTAATATTTGTTTTAATTCTGTTATATCTGTCATACATGACTAGCCTTCTGGTCGTAATCCATTTAGATGAAACGACATCTTTAGTTGATTTTCAAATGTAAAAAGTTCCTCCTAGATGATAGAAGTACTCCTTACATTCATATAGGTAATGAAACTATCAAGTATATGAATCTTCATTTCTGTACCTGCATAGTTTTTTCAAATCTTTTTTTTTTCTAAGGACAGTCTTTGGTTTTCACAGAATATTATGAAAATGACTCTTCAAGATTATATACCCTCCCAAATATGAGTATGCATGATGCAACAAATTGTACTGCATAATCAACATCTTTCTTACAGTGGTAGCTTCCAAAACAATCTATGAATGCAGCATCCTATATTCTGTGTGTGTGATACATTATTTGTGGCAAAAATGGAGATGTATTGGAAATCTGTGCTGGTTTTAACGGTATTACTGATGACAGAAGGTAGGTTGTTCGCAAAAACGAATTCATATTATGTAATTTTTACGGTAAATGCTGAAAAGGAATGAACAAATTAAATTAAATTAATTGATGTATTTCAATTTTGAATATTGGCTACCCCTTGTGAATTGAGAAAAGCCGTCTGGTTATATTCCTTTACATTACATTCCTATAATTTCAAGCCAGGCATAGCATAAATTTTAATAGGAAGTAATAATTTACATGTATATTACTTAAAGAAATAAAATTAATCATCCTTAAGCTATTTCGCGTTTGAGTTATTTTCCAAGGCATGAAAATATTTTATCTAGTAGTTACACTTTATCAAGTCTCTAACTATGGCTAAATTTTTGGATCAACAATCAATTAGTGCTGATGATTTTAGTCTATTCAATCAATGATTCTCAAATCTTTCTATCGTTTGTGGGTTTTTTTCATTGTATACAAGTCAATCATTCATTTTCATAGCATACATAAATACAGGAAAAATCGTGAAGCTTTACGTGGATCATCATCAGTTCCAGGTTACCATTATGCTAAACACTACATAATTATTGCTGGTTTTAAGGTCAATACGATGATTTACCTACCTAAGGAGTACAATATTAACCGCACCCGAAGGACGAGGTGAATATTGTACTTTGAAGGTGGCTAAATCATCGCATTGATTGAAAAAAGCAATTGATGTTTTATTATATGATTCAATTATTTAATGACACAAACCCTTTAAGCAAAAATGTCATCTTTCTTGTATGCATTTGCTGAAGTCCGGTGCGTAGCATCAGTTTTGAAAGTTGGAGGGATTATAAGCACAAAAATGACAACTTATCTGAAAAAAAAATCTTTGAATAGCCAAAAAAAAAATCAGAAATCTAGAATTATTCAATCATATACAAAAAGGGCTATTATGCAAAGAATAGAAAGAAAGAAAATGATGAAATATTAGCATGAGATTATAAGACATCAATTGAACCAGTAAAAGATGTTTTTGCCGTATTTTATCTAATTTCCTTTAATTTTACTATGAAAGAGAAGTTAGAGAACTCATAAAGAATATGGTAAAAAGAAAATGGCCTTTCATGGTTAAAAATCAGAAAATAACTGAAAAATAAGTAAATAAATCATACTGAAACTGTGATTTCAGGTTTTTTGTATCTGTCTTGTTATTTTTTCCACTGTAATCGTAATTTGCTGAACACGAATGCTCCGCTTGGGTGTACTCTTGCATCATTTAATACGATGAGACGTCTATGATGTAATTCTGCCAAAAGATTTGCGTGGTGTAGTATAATACCTTCAGTCTCCCAAAACTGTTGGCATGGTTCTATATACGACATCAGGTTTTTACCGAATATCTTGATTAGGTGAAGCGATACCCTAGATCGACATTGTCTGAAAATGATGGAGTGTGTTGGCATATCGTGAACATACGTTTTAAGTTCCAGAAAAAATATGTACATGCTGTCTTACAGTGACCCCTAAGTCAAGTTAAAGTAGAGTGCTATTTGACTTTTGACAGCTGAGTGTTTGTCTTCAGACCTTGATTCCCTGCAGAGAGAGTATGCATGGAGATTACAGAATTCTCCCGAGTATTCTACGAATATTGGTATATACAAATTCAACGACAGACCGGGAAATTTGGCATCATTGGGACTCGAAGAAAATTTTGTATGAATCATGCACAATGCTCATATTTTTTTTCAATCTAATGCCATCTGGAAAAATCATTGTAAATAACGTAATAAATTATAAACTTTCTACATTTGATTTTTTGATGGCTTGCTAATTATAATGCATACTGTAGTTTCATCATATTTCGTTGAACACTAATTTTTGCTGTTTTCATGGTTGATCAAGACTAGGAAATTAAGTGACCAAAGAATATCAACTTTCACTAATGATAGAATAAGCCGAAGTAGCTGTCCACCAATTTTCATATCAAAAAATTGTATCTTTTGTCAAAACTACGAAATTTGATCCCCTAAAAATTGATCATACATAAGTATGTTAAACTATTATATTTTGTATACAATAAATCCTAATTTAATGCATTTGAGGATTTTAGATCTGAATATTAAACAGTTACATAGGAAAATTAAAAATGAGCTTTATTTGCTAAAATATGATTTATTTTAGAACAAATGTTTAGACCTTCTAAATCGTTTGAAGAGCATTGATTACAACAAACTATCACCGAAACAACAGACAGATTTTGATGTGTTCAATGATACATTAATGACAGTTGTCCGAGGATATGACTGGCGAGAGTATGTATATTTTTATGGATTTTTCTAAATTCCTCTGTACATTATAAGAAGTATCAGAAGTAGGCAAAAGGACATGTACCGTTCAACGTTTTATTATTTCATGTCACTTTAATCACAGACGTAAAAGAAATACATGTATTTTGAACATGGCTGACATGTTACGAATGATTACCTTTGATTTCAAATCAAAGTATACTCAGAGCTAAGAAAAACAATTATCTCATGAAAGTAATTTTAAAATGATACTTGTGATTAAGTTTATGAACTTCATATCTGATGCAGAATTAATCATTTATTTACATGTAGCATAATTTATGCATTGCATAGATACAGCGTTTTGAATCCTGTAAATTTCCTAGAAGGTCCACAAGTTGATCCATCTGATCTGCCGAAAATAACGCCATTCGATACGATAGGTGACTACATCAGACGACTACAGCTGTTCCCAAAGCAGGTTTATTTGTTTGTTTGTTTTTTTGTTTGTTTGTTTAATGTCCCTTCGAGATTTTTTCACACATTGGAATCGATCCCGCGACGTAAGGATCAATTCCTTACTCTAGCGCAAACGCTCTAACCACTGCGCTACGCGGGCGACCACAAAGCAGGTAAACAGAATATAAACAATTTCACGTTTTACCTTTCTAGCTTTGGCTTACTATATTGAGTCAGTGTAAAAATAGTGTATAATATTGTCAATTTCCTCATGTCAGATTGATGAAATGATATCAAGATTTGAGACAGCAATAGAAAAGAAGCACACGTATCATAATGTATCAGTGGTAAGTAGAGACTGCGTATTTTATTAATCACTTGATCATCTTTTTGTTGTTACATAAGAATCATGAAGATGAGCAAATTATGTTGACAGAATATTTAGAAAAATTGTAGAATATTACCTTTCGTGTTTGTAGAATGACTTAGAATTGTTCATTTTTTAATCCTAGAACAGAGTTCCAGGTCAGATAGATGCCATTCTTGAAGGCGTAAATGTTACAACTTTTCCTTTGTACGAACCTTTTTTGGATCAATTGACAAACCATACAACGATACAAGAGTCCAGAAAGTAAGATTTAATAAAATACGAATCTTTCAGCTTAAGTGCTCGAGAATCCTAAAATATTTAATTCGTCGCTTTAATTAGACAAGAAATAAAGTAATGGAGTTGACTCATTTTCTCATGCACATGCCCATGCTTCATCTTTTAGTTTGTTGCCAGACTTTGAATGTTGTATAATAAATCTTTAGATTTATCAAGAAAAAACATGTTAAGAATTATGTAATATATGCGAAAGATTGCCACCTTTGCAAAATTGATTATTCCCCATTTATTCTGCGCATGAAAAAGAAATCAAGGAACATGTTTCATAATTAAAACTACTGCAGCTTTGATAATGATAGAAAATGCAAATAAGGTAAGTTGATTTTTTCTTCTTTTAACCTGTTAACGACTGCTTTACAACGCAGGCCCGTAGAAAGCAATTTCAGTTCGGGGGAGGGAGGAACAACACTTCTTTCACGAAATCAAGTCCCCTCGAACCAATATTTTTTCCTCAAAGCACAAAAATTTGACTCCACGAAAATATGTGACAGTACTTTTGTTTTCTATTGTATACTATATATCGGCAAAATTATTGGCGAGAGGGGAAAGCCCCCCCCCCCCCACCTAACTCGGGTTCCTATGGCCATGACAAAAGCAAATGTATTTTACGCTTTTCGATAGTTTCTTTTAGTAATTTAATTGCATTTTTGTTGTGTTTAAGGCAACTTTCTCAAGTAGGCATTACATGCACACAGGTACATATCCTCTCAGTTTTGCAATGAAGTACTACTTAAAATGCAAATCTCCTCTAATACCTCAAACAAAAACATCTTAATGTGCGAATCTTCTCTCTAATACCCTAAACAAAATATTTCGTTCAGCCCTAAATTCAATGCAAATAAAATCAGTCCCTTGTGTAATGTAAACCACAGTCAATATTCAATTTGTTCATACACTTTTTTCGACGAATTAGTGCTGTGAACTCTTTAATCTTTCCGTAATGATTTTCATTTGAAATATTTATGAATATTTTTCGAATACAGGAAGAAGTTGCGACAGAGAGTTAAACCAGCAATCAAGTTAATTATCCAAAAATATCGCAGTTTTAAGACATTTCTTCAAGATGTAAGTTATAGCAAGAGTCTCCATGATTGCCTGTATGTTTGTATGTTTGTATCTGTGTTTGTAAATTTCGTTTTTTAAGTTTTTTTTCTTGTATGAGAACCTGTATATCTTGTGAAAAATATCTTTTTAAAAAAAAAGCACTCTTTCTGTTTCCCATTTCATTGGATATTATGAATAGATAGCTTTCTTTTCCTCCATTTCAAGGTGTACTTTCATAATCTCAGAACTAATGTTGGAGTAAGTAGCTGGGATAAAGGGAGAGAATTCTATAAAGAATGTCTAAGATGGTACCTTTCATTGGATTTATCACCTGAAGAAGTACATAACATAGGGTTAGGAGAAGTGGAAAGAATTTATATAGAAATGAAAAAGGTAGGTGCATTTAATATATTGATAATGAAGTAGACATTATATCAAATGACTTTTATTTTCTTTAAGCATTTTTATTATTTTTACAGGTCATGATGAAACTTAACCACCAAGGCTCTGTGAAAGAATTTTTTGATAAAGTAAAATCAGATCCCCGGTTCTATTTACAAAGCGGGGTAAGAATACTTTGCCATTATTTTTAACCTTAACCGTGTCGATACTTCATAGAGAGAGAGAGAGAGGAGAGAGATTTTATAGACAATTTTTCATTGTTCGTTTCAGGATGAAGTTACTGAATGGTACAAGAACGCAATTCAAAAAGAAATCAAACCAAAATTACCAACTTTGTTTAAAAATCTTCCAGACTTACCATTAGTGTAAATATCCTTAATGCAGATGCTGTTTTTGAAGATTATGTTCAAGTTTTGTTGAATGCAAATTTTTCTTATCAAAATAGTTCTACTTTTCACATACATATGTAATTCGTTTTAGGAGATTTCAGTGAAATGCATGCAGACTTTGTATTGCCATGATTCCTACATAGTTCAACTTTTGGCTACTCTGCAATCATTAGATTTCGTGGTGGCTCAATTTTCATGGAATTCGTGGGTACCTCTCATCCAGAAATTAACATCCTCCACTAATTAATAAACTATGATTACGAAGTCAAATTTCCTTTTGTAGATATAGAAGAGTACATGAAATTACATCCCCACGAACCTGTAATTTTTAAGCAATCCACGGAAATTGGCCCCACGAATTTTAATGATTCCACAGTATCAGACCAGACGATTACATTACTTCTTGTCCTCATACTAACTTATGTTTACCTACATATTCTTTTTTCAAACTGGGCTGATAATTTAAAATTGAAAATCCAGGTCTTCCTTGTAAAAAAGAAAGATTAATAGGGTTATATTGAGGAAAGTAAAGGGAATTTTAAAACTTTAAACTCATAACGTATCAACGACATAAAATTTAATGATTCTTAGCCTAAAATGTATTAATTCATTTGATTCTAAATGTAGATTTTAACGTGAAATTGTTTCGTTAGTATGATTTGCATTGTAGCATTGCTATACACAATTTGTTTTCGTATGAATTTCCCGAAGTGTGTTGCATACATACATGTATAATTCCTAGAACGTTGACTTTTTGCTTTACAGTGTGAAACCAAACCCAGTTGATGGAATTTTTGGACAGTATTTTGCAGGGCCTTCAGATGGATCCCGACCAGGAGTGTTTCAAGTCAATGTTCATCATCCTAAAAAAATTGTAAGATTCTTCATGCCGAAATACTGTCATTTATGGCAAGCCCTTCTACTCTTTATTCGTGAAATTTAAAAAAAATTCTTTCAATTTCTTTGAACAAGAGATATATCTTTAATTTAGAGAGATATTTCTTTAGCTTATAGAGATATCTCTTTAACTAAAAGAGATATGTCTTTGACTAAGAAAGATATCTTTATAATCTAGATAGATATCTTGTTTACTTCGATATCTTTTTGAGCTAGAGAGATATCTCTTTAAGCGAGAGGGATATCTCTTAAAGTTAGAGAGATAGGGCTTGCCATAGACATTCATAGTATCATGATTTATATGCATCTTCTTATTTATATACGAACCATAACCTCCTATTTCGATCGTTGTGAGATGCAACAACTTTTAGTAATTAGCATTTTCGATCTGTCGTGTTACAGTTGTAGCTGTATGACCTAAAATTATGAGACAAGGAAAAAAGTAAGTATGAAATGTATGAACTACTCATATTTTTAACAATTTTAATAATTATCTCTTTACAGACCAACAATTGATTTTATGGCTTTGGCTCTCCATGAAGCTAATCCAGGTCATCATTTGCAGGTGACAGGAATTGTCAAACAAGGGTTTTTTTCTTCCATGTGTAGATGTTTTTTGAGTCGCCTGCATAGCAGAACGACACATTGGGATCATTTGGCATGGCGTCTGTCTATCCGTCTTTCTCTCTGATTCTCTGTCTTTCTATCTGTCTGTTTGTCTCTCTGCCCGTCTCTTATACCGTATATCTTGAGAACTGTAAGAGGTAAGGATATGATACTTTGCTCATGCATTGATTGGTACAATAGCTTTTGCTAAATAGCAGGGGCTACTGACCTTATGATCTTGAACTTGCCTTTGAGCTGCTTTTCAAAATAGTTTGTTTATGCCACTCACACTTAATTCTCTGAACGGTGAAATTAAGTCTGATGTACACTGCTTGTTGTAAGACATTTTGAAAAAGGAAAATAGCAATGTTTCTATCCAGTTGACTTCCACATTTGATTACCATCAAGAACACACCTAACTGTTATTAAACATATATCTTTTAGATTTTGAGAGGTGGGGCATTTATAGCAATCATATATACTGCATTTTTATAACCTAATGAAACTGTGCTTTCTAACTAATTGATATATACATTTACCAGATAAACTAAAATTTAAATGTATTCGCTGCTTAATCGGATGAAAAAAAGGAGGATCTATATATTGACTCGGATTTATTATTCAAGATAAGTCGTCGACTGACAATTGTAGTACAGAAGAAGACTCTTAAATCTTGTTGAATTAAACTCATATAATTTAATGAATTATTATTTGAATTAAATATTCATTTTAGCTTAAAGTGTTGCGGAATCATATATCAATTTGATTTTCACATTTTATTACAAATGCTATTCTAATACAGTCTTACTAACCATAGATGTTTTAAGTTTCTTTGCAGCCAGAGGAATAATCTATAATTTTAGTATGCAAAATGCTATAGCATAAATAAACACATGACTAGAGCTAAAGTATGCTCATTTTGTATTGTCATACTAGCGTTATAGTTATTTCAAAGAAAAAAAATTTCCTCGAATAGAATGAGCTAAATAGTTTTAATTTATACTGTTAAATGCGACAATCATATGCAAATGATTTCTCGGCCCTCGAAGCTAAACGGAAGCTATACTGAATTCGTCTTCTCTCCTAAAGTGAGTCCTCAACTTTGCTTGAATTACGAACCCAAGTTGATATACTGATCCTGACTTATTTTGAAATAAATAGCAGAATGTACACGTACTTTAACAATTTTAGTTTGGTCGATAGAGGTATATAATAAAGGTTTTTTTTAAGCGTCATGGGGTCATAAAAATCGGAATATAATATATTCCGAAAAAATAACAAAATATGTATTTGGATAAAATAGGCTGCAACTTTAATAAGTGTTTAGATTACAAATGTCAGACAAGCATTTAAGAAGCATTATGTGCGACACACTTAAGGTCAGACGCGACGTATCTTCCATTATTTTCAGAAAAAAAATTTCTATCTCCGCAATGTGAAGATTTCCACTACGTAATTCCGGAATAATTTCCGAAATTGGTTTGAATGTTAAGAAATTGTTATGTCCCTTTATGGCTTTTTTGTAATTGGAGGTAATTTTATTAGTTTGTTTACAACATGGAGGAGCAATTTCGCGGTAAAGGTGGAAAGTTTATATCTGAAGGAAAGTTGAGGAAAATACGGGCGTTAGAAATAAACAAACAACGAAAAAACCAAGAAATACTTTTGCAGCCAAGTGAGTGAAAATTTTATTATGATTTCTTGTTTTCGATTCTCTTTCATATATTGTTCATACAGACGTATAAACGACTTCGTGTATATCCTGCATATTATTGTATAACTGTGCATTTAATTTATTAAAGGTCACGATGATGAAGTTCTTTCTCTGTCTGAGACTTCTCACTCCATCGATTTGCCAGAATATATACCTTTTGAGCATGATTATTGTATGTCAGTACCATCAAACATTGAAGAAGAGGAAATGGAGATAGCTTTTGAAGACACTGATGATGATGTACAGTACCAACCAGACCCAACCTGACACAAAGCAGTCCCAGAGCAGTCCCGGGGACTGCTTTCTGGGACTGCTAAAGCAGTCCCAGAGCAGTCCCACAGCGGTCCCAGCAGTCCCAAAAAGCAGTCCCAGCGGTCCCAGAAAGCAGTCCCAGTGGGCGGGGTTTATTAATTTAATGGGCGGAGCTTACTCAGAAATGAGATTACCAATAAACAATGTAACTATAAAAGACAATGGAAATTGATGATGCATTTCTTTCTGAGCAGTAACATTAAATATTTACAGTTCTTGTGTGACAGTCATTTCTGAACTGTTAAGAAATCACAGTACGCATATAGAAACAAATAACAAATATTGAACAAAGAAGGTGTTCACTCCTACTAATAACATGAATATTTAAATAAAGTTATGTGGTATATTAATTTTTCACCAAAATAAATCAATTTCTTTATTTTCTGTGATTGATATTGGTTTCCATATTTATTTATTCTTATTAAAAATTAAACTTGAATTATTTTTTTTTCTATCAGAATTAGTTTAAATAGATTTTACAATTATAGAGCAAGGCCGATTCCCATACTATACTCTGAATGCTTTTTTCTTACTGGAAAGTACTGGGGCTTTTGAAAAATTCTTTGTAAAATTTTGCCGAGTATTATATTTCAGTCATGACTATTTTCACTAACTTGCCAATTCGATTATCGTTAGATTCTCTATGTAACAGAAAACAATTATAACACTCAGTTTTAAGTGTTTTATTATATAAACGTTCGATTGTACAGTCATCTGAAAATCACGAGAATGGAACCCTCAGATTATGTTTTAAATTAATTAATCCCGAAATAAATCTATACACATTTATTGAAACAAAGATGTTTTGCAGTTCATAGATTGAAAATAGTGTCATTGTTGACCAGCGTGTTCAGCGATGTGTAACACTGATACCACTCATTGACTTTCTGCTAATCGTGCCCAAAGGCGATTGAAACCTCAAGTGTTGACAACACACAATTCCCGATATTTTCAAATGTTTTATTTTTAAATAAATGTACCTTTTTAATTACTTGTTTATAAATTAAAAACTAACTCATAAATAAATCCCCAAATACTTGTTCACATTGTTTATATAACTGAAGAATGGTAGAATAATTTTATTTCATAGTCATTAAATAAAAAATTATTAGGTTTTATTTGAGGGCGGTAAAAAATAGCATGGATAGCATGGGGAATGTGCTTTTTTGAGCATGGTTTTAGCTTTTTTCAATTAAAAAAAAAATCCAGTACAGTACTTCCCTCTGAATATTTTTTTAAATAGTGCTAATGCAAACTTTGAGTACATGATTTGATAGCATTAATTAATTAAATAGGCCTCGATAATTTTGTTTCAAACACTTGTATTAAAGTTTAATTTAAAAGATAAAAATCATCTCCTGACTTCCCTTTTTAATTACTTTCATTTTTTAAAAAATTAATTCTAGACTACAATTGTGTAAATTTAGAGCCCCTGAAGACATATAGTAATTACATGTATATATATATCTCTCTACTTGTTAAAATTTTGTAAGAAATCCTTGTTCTTTTATTTTTTATCTTCAACACCACTCTGCTGAAAGTAAACAAAACAACAACAGGGAGACTGCAAATTCAGAATACACAAGGGGGCGGAGCTATCATGTCACTCAGAACCTCTTTCACGCATGAGTGAACAAAGCAGTCCCAGAAAGCAGTCCCGGGGACTGCTGGGACTGCTGGGTCTGCTTTTTAGAGCAGTCCCACAGCAGTCCCGGAGCAGTCCCATAGCGGTCCCAGAGCAGTCCCAAAGCAGTCCCGGGGACTGCTTTATGGGACTGCTTAGGTGTCAGGTTGGGTCTGGTTGGTACTGTAACGATAAAGTGGAACGAAGGAAGAAGGATTATTGAAATTCAGTATGTCAATGAGAAGCTGATTGAAGGCTGTGAATTCTGCAGACATCCTTTGAACTTCACGAATATATGTGGCGAGATCAGATATGGACTGGCATCAATGTTACAAATAAAGAGTGTGAATTGTGATATGGTGGTATCAGTTCCAACTGGAAAGAGACACTCTCGCATAGACAGTGACCATCCATCTAGAGCATTTGATGTCAACACAAAACTGGCTCTTGGTAGGCATTGTATAGATAATTAAATTTTATATGTACATGTACTACAAACAACAATGAAGTGCACTTCTATTCTGAGGACATATTTTTACATGATATTTGAATGGTCTACTAGTTGAACCACTAAAGATATAATAAATTACAATAATTTAAATGTATAATTATGTTGCAAAAGTAACCGTCTACAAAATTGTGTATATTTTGTAGGTATGCTTCATGCAGGTATTGGCCAGAAGAAAGTATCAATGCTCTTAAGCGTACTTAATATTCCATCTATGTGCCATAAAACCTTGAAAAAAACAGAGAGGGAAGTAGGAAAGGCATTAAAAGAAGTGGCCAAAAAGAGTTGTGACGATATGACTGCAGTCGAGAAGGAATCATCAAGGTACCAAAAATAATGTTGAAAGCTATGAATTATCATTACTTGTGTCACAGAAATATATTGTATATTTTTTCAACCTGTGTACTGTAACAGGTATTTTTATCAAACAGGTTATTATAATATTTGCAATACTTATAATATAAAAAGCAAAAACAGGATTACATATATACCGGTAATTTATATGCACTGTGTTGTTTTACAGTACACCTAATGAGCTTTCTGTATCATTTGATGGTGGGTGGCAGAAAAGAGCTTCAGGTCGATCCTATTCAAGTTTGTCAGGTATTTATTTTATTTTCTAAACAGTACAGTAGGTATTATACACATATCCTATATATTACACTTTGTAGCATTTGTGGCATGTACATTTTTATCTATTTAGTGGATGTTAGTGAAATAATCAGGGATATTTTTTTAAAAATTGAATATATCTTCCAATCTTTGATAGTCCAACTTCAATAGACTGATTAGTGTATGGCATACTGGTAATACATGAAATGTAACACAGTAGATTTTATTTTCAAATGAAATTATACAGTAGTCTAGTTGTGATATTACTGTAATTTATACATTATGTACATGTTATAAAAATTTGCAGGACATGCCGCAATGATTGGAAATGAAACAGGAAAAATCATCAATTTTGCAACTCGCAACAGCTATTGTAAAGTATGTGATAACTCTAAAAAATCTGGGAAGGTTCTACCTATCCATGACTGTCGAAAGAACTGGTCCAAAAGTGCAAAAGCCATGGAACCAGATATGTGCATACAGATGTTGCAAGACCTTGGCCAAAATGATGTGAATGTCAGTACTATTATCATGGACAATGATTCGACAACTGTTGCAAGAGCACGTCTGGAGGTTAACCCAGCCCTAAAGAAGCAGAGTGACAAAAACCATACAATGAAACAATTTACAAATAAATTATATGACCTGAAGAAGAACAAAAACTACAAAGAACTAAATACCAAAACCATAAATCATATCAGCAAGTGTTTCAAATACTGCATCAGTCAAAATCAAGAAGATTTGATTAGTCTAAAGAAAAATCTGGAGGCCATAACACCACATGTCTATGGAGACCACAGCCTATGTGATACCTGGTGTGGATTTCTCTCTTCTCCTGAAACCTACAAGCCACAGCAGCTTCCTTATCATAGGTACCTTTCTAACCAGCAGTTGAAATCTGATCTCTCATCTCTCTTTGGATTCTACATATCGCAGGCTGAAAAATTGATCAACTTAGGAAGTACTCAGGCAAATGAAAGTTTCAACAATACAGTTGCAAGTAAAACACCAAAGTCCACCTTCTACTCTGGCTCCGAGAGTAATGA